AAAGAGATAACGCTAAACTGGAGAAAAGTTGTAGGTGAGACTAAATTTAAGAACCCATATGACCCTCAAAATGCTAATATATGATCTGTACAGAATTTTGTGTTTTGGCAAATGGTTGTAATAATTTTTTTTCTGCTTTTCAGGATGTTCTAGACCTAATTTGTGAAGAGGTTTGGGTTTCTCTGAATAATTAACTAAACCTCCCCCCATCTTATTTTATGCCACTTTGGAATGCATCCTCCCCTGCACACTGCTTTCTGTTCTATTTAATCTTTGTGTGTATGTGTATGGAAACAGTTTTAGCTTTAACGGTTTCTGCCTGCTGAGTTTTGGGGGTCTTCTCCCCTGCACATCTCAGTCTTGCTATTTTACCAGAAATTAAACTTGAATGCGTGTTCTGTCCTGTTAACTCTTGTGCATCAACAGCCCTGAGGATCTCAGGTTGTGTTTCAGAACAGCTCTGTAGTGACCTGCAGCTGTAGAACAGGCTGAGGAAAGAGCGTGCAGACACCAAGTATGGCTCAGAAAGTTTTTGGACTAAATCTAGTTTTGTCCCTTAAGGAGAACTCTCACTGCCACCTCCCCATCTTCTTTTGTGCGGCCACAATCCACTTGCTGGCATCCTTGCTCTAGAACATGGTTGCAGTCTGGAGCTCTGAAGCTGTCCCATCAGGTTGGCAGGGAGTGAAAGAAACTTGAAGGCCAGATGCTCCTTTTTCAGGCTGTTGAGCTCATCCCCAGGACAGGCAATGAGCGTGCGTGGTGGTGTGTCTTGAGGGGTGCCTCTGAGATGCAAAGTTTTGCGGGGTGGTGCAGTTTACACTTTGCACTTGCTCAGAGAAAAAGTCTAGCCCAGGTTGACGATGGAATAGTTTGCTTTGAAACTTGGTGACGAATGTCACTTTAATTGAACTATATTTAAAATGAAATATGGTTGTTAAAATTCATAAAGCAATTCATATTCAGTAGGGCACTGTTGATAAAATAGGTCAACCTTGCAGCCTAAATTGTGATAAAACCGATGCTGCTAATCTCACAATTTTGTAGGAAGCCTGACAATGTTTTATGTTTTTCCCTCAAGCCCCAGCTCTTGGAGTCATGTGATGACAAAAATGCCAGCTTTCATTTCTTCGAAATGTAAACTTCCAGCTCTTGTATTTCCAGGCAAAATCTGAAACCACGAGCACTACAAGTTCCAAAATTAGAAGGCAAACAAAACTGAGGCCAAATGTTGTTTTTTAAACTGTTCTGATTTTTAGTCAAAATTTTTTTTGGAGAGCCCAGCTCAAGATCTTGGAACACTTCAGGTTGCCAATAATGTAAAACTAAGATCTCAAAGCAGCGAGAAGCAGCAGCGCTGCTTTACGATGTCTCTTAACACTTGGGCCACAGTTCGGTTTGACTTTTTAGTTTAATACTGCCAGTACTTGGTTACTAATTTGTATTCATTTCTGGGTGATGTACTTAGCCCAAGAACTGAGTGCTATCTGAAACTTCAGAGCAATTCCTGCCAGACAGCAACCATTTGATGACTCTGTGTGTTTTAATAGAGGGTTTTCTTCTTTCTTCAGAGCTAGAGACTTGTCAGCAGATGTTCTAGCAGGATTTCTCTTAGAAAGTTCGGACAGCTGAAGAACGAGCCGATCCTGACTAAATTCCAATGCAAAGCTAGAAAGGCATGCCTCTAGCCCGCTCCACCGGCTGGGCGGGATGTGACTTCTGCCTGGTGCCGGGCCGGGGGGTGCAGACAGCTCCGTAGAGCCTGGTGGCGCCTTGGCAGGCGTGCCAGGAGGCCCTGCTCCCCAGGCCTCGATGGCCTCAAGCTTTGCCGACCTTAGCAGCTTGTCTGGCAGCGAGCGTGGGCACCATGGCCCTCCAGGATCCTGTGTTCCTTTGGGTCGCAGGCTTCCCGGCTTTCCTGAATCCCTCATCTGCCCTGGGTGTCCTCCCAGATCCAAATAAAGCTTTCCCTTGCGAGTCCGGATCCAGATTTCCGCCCTCCCCACCCGCTGTCAGCTGGCTGCGTCCCTTTCCCCATGAGTTGTGTTGGTAGATGGAGAGGCCTGGCTGCACTAGGATGTTCCCAAATCAGAATATTCCCATTCTCATTAAGTTCTGAGGTTTGAGGTGTTGTTCCAATTTGGAATGTAATAAAATCTTGAATACTTGGAATTTCCTGCAGGATGGTTAGTTCCTTTTGTAGCCAGATCTATTTTTCAAAATCTAGCTGTATTTTGGGGGAGGAAAGAAGGATTTAGTTTCTGAGTTACACAGAAGTTCAGAAAAATATTTCTTAAGCTTAACATGCAAAGTTTTGAAATGACACAGTTGTTATTGTCAAAACTTTCCAAGCACCAAGAGGCTCTGGGTTGATTCCAGCCTTCCAAAACACTGGTAAAGAGACCTGCTTCCAGAGTGCTTCAGATACCATAATTTACCCAGGCCATTATCTATGGCGGTCATTTTTGTTGTTGTTGTTTAGATTTGTTGTTGCTTTTGAACTCCTCGGGTGAGCAATCATCTGTCATCCAGAACTGGCTGAATGATGCTCAGGCCTCTTTGTGTTCTCTTCGTTTGAGAAAACACTGAGATTTTGATTAACCTATTTCAGATGAAGTTTAGTTGTAAGAAGTAGCAGTTTCTCTTTCTTGTTGTGAGAAGACGCTGACTGTTTGACTGTACATAAAGAAATGTGAAGATTTGTTCCCTGCCCCAACATGTTTGCACTCTAAATTATACTTCCAACGCAGCTCATCCTTTCATTTTCTGCCTCCTGCTGGAAAGCGAACTCCAGCAGGCCACTATGCGAGCCAAATACCTGGAGTAC